CTGCAGATTATACAGTACAAATAAAATGTTCACGTTTCTCCAACGTTGTCTTCCCAGCAGTTTCACCGGATGGCCAGGAAGCGTTCGCGATGTGTTATCGGGCGCTGATAATTGGCGTCTGTCTTGTGTCAGTGACGTAAAAGACGGATTTAATGCGACATGACCATCATCGGATATGTATCGGATTCAGTACCACATATGAAAGTGACCCAGGTCGGATTTGTGCCGTTCACACTGTCACACCATGATCGGATATGAGTCGCATAGGGTCAAAAAAATTGGATTTGATGCGCTTCCGCCTGCAGTGTGAACGTAGCCTCAGTAAGCTGGGGCTCTAAATGTATTATGTATTATTGTAGGGTCTACCTTACAATATAAAATGCCTTGAGCTGAATAAATAAAGCTGAATTGAATAAATGGCGATACACTAACTCTTGGTTCCATGTACGCGTTGCAGATCCATTGATAGGCCACATGGAGATGGTAACAGAGATTGTGGTTCCCACTGTGTGTACACTCTGCATCCTCATCAGTGCGGTTTTCTTCATGTTCCTGCTGCGTCGACGCCTCTGAAAAGTGCACACAGTCACATCACTGAGAGCTCACAGAAAAAGAATCTAAGATTTGCTTCCATGCTGTAAACCTGTATCCTGTCTCAAGCTTATTGCTGATTTAACTGTCCTGCTGCTGCTTTGAAAAAGAAATGTTTGGGGGTCATCATGAAAAATCCAAAAGCAAACGTCTGTCGCCATGTGAGACTGAATTCCAGATTTGTGCTCGATTATTTCATTAATCAGTTGACCCTGTGTGATTTTTGAAATAGCTGTATTCTCTATTGGCTACCCAAGTTCATTTTAGAGAGGGGTTGGCTTGTGTCCATAAGTTTCTAATAAGATTGACGGGGAGGAGGTGATGTCCATGCTGTGGTCATGAAACTTTAATTAAATATATTTTTAAGAATTCAATGGTGAGTGATTATTTAGGTTCATTTCCTTTGTTATTACTTTATCTTATGAAAAACAACCAATGTAAAAATATAATAAAGGAGCCCAATGCACGACCACCCAGTAAACTTCAATCATCTTTCTGATGCGGTCCAGTGTCGATGGCATTACCTGCACAGGTGTTCCTAATAAATAGATCAAAATGCTTTCAATTGAAGCATCAGTAAATTGTTGGTTCTTGATAAACAGTTTGATTTATAATTTTATTGATGCTCATTTGTATCACGTTGTGTTTATTGTGTAACAAAAATCAAAAGTAATTGTAGTGAGCAGGTAGAGCCTGGAGGGATACGCATGGGAAACAGCAGGAATATAAGTCGCCAGGTGGGGTGGAGTGGGTGACAATAGCAGCAAAAGTGAAAGGGAAGGGTTACAATAAGGTAGTGAGACCTGTTGTGATGTATGTTTTTGCAGTTACGGACAGCGACAGGATTAGAAACGTGCATATCAGAAGGACAAACTCAGGTTGAGGGGCTTGCAGGCAAGGCTGAGATGGATATGTTTAAAAGTGGATATACGGGACGTAGGATGTTGAACGATCAAGCTACCATGGAAGAGGAAGACCACGGAGAAGACGCATAGATGTAGCTGCATGGATGTCGAAGGACGACACCCTTGGTGTAGGGTAAGATGGAGCTAGATGATCTGCTGTGGCAATTCCTAAAGGGACAGGCTGAAAATAATAATATGGGCTCTTTATCATTTTTTGATTACTTCAAAACTTGAACTGGAAAGAAAAAGCTGCAGAAAACAACCTGCTGAACTTCAGAGACTCCTGCTGGCTGAACAGGCTTTCAGGCTTCCTTCTGTTCCTGCACTGGAATCGTGTGTTTTTATTGTATGAAAACCCCAAACCCTGAGTCAACCACAGACGGACAGAGATTTTTCTATGTGCTGATAAGCCTGAAATATAATGGTGTCTCAGGCAGATGATGCATAACATTGATTTAGGCAGCTGGAATCAGTTTTTAGTGGAAAAATGGTAAATAGACTGGTTCTTATATACAGTAGTGTTTTCCTACTGAAGCACTCAAAGTGTTTTATCAAATGTTTCATTCACACATGAACTCTTTTTTATGCATAAGTGCTTTTTATCTTCACACTGTCTAACATTCACATGCTGATAAATGTCAGAGAGCAACTTGGGGTTCAGGTTAGACTGGAGCAGCTGTTGAACCGCCAACCTTTCGAATAGTAGATGACCTCCAAATACACAACCTGCTCCAACTCCTAAGATACAGCCACACAAAAATATTTGAAGCTTCATGAAATCATTCATGAAGCTTTGCTTAGGCTGCTGCCCCCGCGACCCGGCCTCGGATAAAGCGGATGAAGATGGATGGATGGATGGAAATCATTCATAATAAAATGCCACAGAAGTAACGTTTTTTTCTGAAGAAATGTTTTCTCTACTTACTCATGAAGCAGGGAGAAAAAGTAGAAAGCTTACACAGAGCAGTAAACAGAGTTTAGTGGAGAACAGTTTGGACAAATGTATTGTATGGCAAAAGATGGTAAAGGAGGAATTTTAAATTACCCTGAAATGAAAGGAAGATGAGAAGAGAAGAGAAGAGGATACTAGCAGAAACCAAAGTAATGCAGGGAGTAACGACAGGTTTTCCAGTAGGATCTAGGAAGACAGTAACAGAGTGTTAACAGTGGTGAGGTTTGTAAAAAAAACCCCAACAAGTTAGCAGATCTATACCTGGAATTTTGAAACATCGGATTGGAATGTCAATAGGCTGTTCTTCTTCAGAGAATTAAAATAGGATGCATAAGCTTGTCGGTTAGGCCATATATCCCTTCACCCCTCAGGTGCCAAAAACATGGACACATCAATGTACTGTGCTAATCGCACCAAGAATTTAAAAATAATGTACGAGATAAATGTTGTAACTGTGATGGGCAGCAAATGATCCCATAGAAACACAGTTATGTAGAGTCAAATACAAGTTACTCTGAAAGAATTTCGGTTGAAAGTGGAACACCAGGGAATATGGTGTGCCCTTCCATCCACCCATCTTCATCCGCT